CTCAGGGCTTATCTTCCTCAAAAGAAAAAAAAAAATGCCCTCAATGGGGTCACATTTCTGGGGAGATTAGGAAGCTTTGTTAACCATCTTCAAAGGCAAATTTACATTTGACTTATTATCAGCTGCCCACCCTCAAAAACCGTGTCCATCATTCAGCTGGCTGTGATGGAGAATAATGAGAACGATACTGTGTATGGTACAGAGGCCGAGAGTCCAGACTCAGGGACCAGAGGGCCGGTTCAAATCCCAGCTTTGCCTCTCTCTAGCCATGGAGCTCAGGCTGATCCTTTGGCCTCTCTGAGTCGAGTTTCCTCATCCATAAAACCCAGCAGATGTCCGAAAACACAGCTCACGCACTAGTGGACGACATTACAATAGTCCCATTATAACATAAGCAGTTTATCTCAGACTCGTACTGCACTGGCTCCGTGTGGGATGGACAAGTGGCATCCACAAAACTGGATGGCTGGAGCTTGGTTCATTTCTTGTAGCTCTCCTTGGGGGGCATTTCACAACTTTTCTCTTTTTAAAATCAACTTGCGTAACAAAATCCATCATGTGCAGTTTGTGTTGGGAAGGTATCATTTCACTGTTTGGATCTGGCAGACCGTTGTCAACATTTTAGCTGCTGGGTCCCAGTGGACCTCCAGGAGTCTGCGTTCTACACAACTTCTCGAGGAGTTTGGGGGTCAGCCGGGCTTGGGGACAACAGCCCTGCACAATCCCGCTCTCTGCGTGCAGGCGCTCTGCCTGTGCCCCGACCCAGGCAGAGAGTCACTGCTCACACGCAGACCCTGCTCCTCTGACCCTTCCCAGAGTTCTGTGTGCGGGAGTTCAGGATCATGACCCCCAGTGCCGGCGGTCACCTTGTGGAAGACCAACGGGCATAAACCACAAGGAAGGAGGGAAAATCCCCATTTGACTTCTCTCCTCCGATTCCAGGATGCCCTCGTGGTCACCCCGGCCTCCTCGGAGAACCCCGGACCACTCTCCTCTCTCCCAGTGAAGACTTGGACGGTGGCCATCCAGGGCGGGCTGGGTCCCAGTGGGAGTGTGGGAGCCAACTCTGTAGACTGCCCCTCTCTGTGAAAAATAAATACTTGCCTGTGACTCCTGTAGTCTGGAGTGCATCCTTGTCCCAACTCAGGAGTCTTTTTGCCCCAGCAGCCTTGGGGACTGGACATCCAAGCCACATCTGGGTCATTCAGACCCCTCTGAGCCAGTCGGGGCCGTGTCTGAGCTCTGTGTGGGCCACATCAGACCACATGTGGATAATGTCCAGGGTCTCGGCCACCTCCCTGGGCTTCAGGAATAAGAAAGCCTGTAGTGCCCTCCCTGTTGGCCTCAAGACCACGTATGGTGGGACAACCTCGTTGGCGGGGATGCACGTTGTGTTCATCTTGGCGGTGTCGGGGGTCGAGGGCTCTGAACAGCGTGACTCTGGAGGCAGGCTTGGAGTTCTGGCCTGGCCCCTCAATGGCTGGTTGACCCTGAGATGTGGCTTCCCCTCTGTGGGCCTCAGTTTCCTTCTCTATAAATGGAGAAAATCACGTCCCCACCTTGGACAGCTGTGGTGAGGAAGAAATGAGAGAGAAGGGCTCCCGGCACATGGAAGGTGCTCAGAAAATGTCCTCTGTGGGTGACGTCATCGTCACTGCTGTTACCTGGCCTCCGGGATGCTGGGCCTTATCATTGAAGGTCCTTCCCACTTGGACAGTGTGTGACTGCCATTGTCTCTCTGGCCTCTCTGATGCCAGCAGGTTCAGGACAGACAACAGGGCCCCTGTTCTCCAGCCTCTGGGCCGGCCCCAGCACACAGAGCCCTTCAGTTACACGAGGGGCCCTGCAGGAAGGGGTGGGTGTGCATTTCAGGAAAAGGTATTCCCCAACTTCAGGGCAAAAACAGGCGTCAGAACGGCTGGCGGCCTGGGAAGGCAGTGGGATGAGCTTCTCCAATCTAAAGGACACGGGCTGGGATGAGAGGGACACGGAGGGGCCAGGACAGGACCCTGAGTGAGGCACCTACACCAGGGCCCGCGAACACTTGCTGGGCAGTTGCTCAGTGCAGGCCACGTATCCTCGACTCCCAGCCACACTCTGTGGGCTGCGTCCCACACATCACAGTCCTTGACTTTTCTAAATCATATTAAATCTGAGTTTGACCCCCACTCACAAGGGAGATGAGAACGTCGAGCTCCATCTTGTCTGGGGAGGTCTCTTCTGGCTCCCTAGGGTCATACAGGGTCTGCTGGGGACTGGGGGGCTTCCAAGGAGCCTGGAGGACGGGGCAGGGGCTCTGGTCTTGAGTCCCACCTGCCCCAGTGAAGGGATGTCTGTCCCAGCCCACACGATGCTGTCAGAGGCAAGTGGCTCCGACACCAGCCAAGCTGGGCTCTTCTCCAAAACAGCTACGGCCACAGCTTCCAGGTCCTGGGGCTTCCTGGAGGTTGCTGAATAAACAACCCCGCCTCCTCCCACCTCAGGGGCAGGGAACAGCACCACACTGGCTCCCACAGTGCCCCAGCAGGTCTGAGCCCCAGGTGCCCGTGGGACCACTTGCTTGATGACACACCTTTATGGGCTCCTCCTTCCCCACCTCACTTTCCCTCCCTTACCAGCGTCTCCCGGGATCAGCTCCCCAATCAGCTCCCTGCTCTCAAATCCTGGTCTCAGGGTCTGCTTCTGGGGACCCAAAACAAGACCAGCGTTTGCTCTGAGCAGGTGCCGGGCTGAGACTAAGCCTGTGGCCCATCTCGAGGTCACCGTCAGCCCCAGGTGATTGCCACCTGCGAGGACACTGGCCCGGTGCTGTCAGATTTTTCAGGTTTTCCACAGTGTGAACTCTACTTTTAATGAACTCCCCTAGTTTCTCACTTAAGCCCTCCATGCCACCACAGGCCACCAGCCTGTGACTTCTGGCCCCAACCTTGGGCTGTGGCTTGGAGCCAGCCTAGACACGCTGCCCCTGCAGGATCCTGCGGTTCAGCGTCATCAAGAACATCCACGTCGGGGTATGGCTGGAGCAGACAGGGAACAAGACCCGCGTGGCCCTCGACGACTGCCACACCCCACCAGGGAACCTGAGCATCGAGGTCCTGGAGCAGTGAGTACCTGCCCACTCCTGCGCGCCCACCGGGCAGAGGAAGGTGCCCAGCCTTCCTGCCCCACAGCGGCTGCTCAGCCCCTCGCTGAGATGCAGGGCTGGGGCTGCCTCTCCCAGCCTCGCTGTCTACAGTCACCAAGGGCATCAGGGACAGGCTCAGGCCACAGCTGCACACACCACGCACCAGCATCTCCTTCCTCCATGCTGAATGTCATGGCCAAGAGCATGATGCGTCCACCCAGGTCAAACCTCAGCTTGACTGCTTCCTAACACTGGGGCCCTGGACAAGCTATTTGACGTCTAGGAGCCTCAGTTTCCTTACCAGTACAATGTGATCGTTCACAGAACCCAGCCAACATGGGGTGGTTGTGGGGAAGAGATGAGCCAACCCATGTGACACACTTAGCACAGAACCTGCCGCATAAGGTGGCCACTATCTATGATGCTTACATTTACCCAGTACAAAAGCTACCTCCTCCAGGAAGCCTGCCATGACTTCCACTGCAACGTGTGGTCTCTCCTTCCTTGAAATTCCCAGAGATCTTTATCAGAGAGAGAAATAAAGAGACAGAGGCAGAGAGGGAGAATCAAGAAGGAATAAAGAGTTGGAGGAGAGAAAAGGGAAAGCAAGAAAGGGGTAAAAAAAAAAGAAAAAAGAAAAGGAAAGCAAGGAGAGAGGAAAGAGAAGACAGAGATACCCGGTGAGAAGGAAGCGGCCTCTCTGAGCTTCCAAGTTACGCAGGCCTGTCTGGGCCTTCCTAGCCCTGCCCAAGACCCCCTCCTCTACAATGACATCCTGTCCTGCCTCTACACCAGCAAGGAGAACCTCGTGGACCCCCAGAACTCCACAGAGAGTGCTCGAGGAAGGGGAGGGATGCAGGGAGGGGACACATAACTGTATTACTCTATTTTTCACACGAGGGAACCAAGGCCTAGCTGGCAGACATGCTTTCTGAGTGGGCCTAGGTAAGTCACTTGCCCTCTCTGGACCTCCCCTAGAGAACTCCTAGTCAGCCTTCAGAACCCAGTGTAGAAGTCCCCCTTCTCTGCGAGGGCTTCCCTGAACACCCAGCCTCCTCAGTTATTCCTCTCTTCCTTCATTCATTCTTGCATTCATTTACCCTGCAAGTATTTACTGAAGGCCCACTGTGTGCCAGGCCCTGTGCACACAGGGTCCCTGCCCTTGCAGAGCTCAGAGTCTAGTGGGGGAATAGAAACTGAACAAGAAAACAGTCAGATAAATAAGGTAATTCATCTTATAATAAGCAGAGCAATGGATCAGTAAGTGGCTGGCAGAGATGAGAGGGCTACCCTGGACGCTGCAGTCAGTCAAGACATCTCTGAGGAGGTGGCCTGACTGGTGACAAGGAGGCACACACTGAGGTCTGCAAGAAGAGGAAGTCCCAGGTGGACGAGGGGATCAGATGAGGGAGGGACCCAGACCCATCACTGCTCAGAAGCCCCCAGCAGCTCCTCACCGCACTCGGAACAAAGTCCAGTCTCCTCTGCAGCTCCCAGGGCCCTGTGTGATCTGGCCCTGGCCGCCTCTCCAGCCGCACGTCCTCACCCACTACACGCCAGCCTCACAGGCGGGGCTGGTCCCCACCACAGGGCCTTTGCACACGCAGGTCTCTCTGCCTGAAACGCTGTCCCTCCTCTGTTGGTCTCAGTGCAAATGTCGCCTCCTGAGAGAGCCCCTCCTTGACCACCGCATCTAAATGTCTAAAGAAAGCTCTCCCCCAACCCCCGCCTTCCCTCTCTCTCTGTTCTTTTCCTTCTGAACACTGAGCACACTGTGCATATGTGTGTGAGTAAAGTTATATATAAACATACACACACCTGTATGTATAGTGAGTGTTTGTTTATTTAACTTTGTGTGTTCCCCATTCCCCCATTTCAAGGGCAGGGACTAAGGATGGTATACTCTGTGAAGGGCACACAGTGGTGCTCAGTAAATGGTGAAGTGTGAAACCCTAAGATCCATATCTGGAGGAGATCTAATGTAGTTGTTCCATTTTTCACATGAGGAAACCAAGGCCCAGACAGGGAAAGTGACTTTCCCAAGGTCCCCCAGCAGGCGGGATCAGGACTGGAGCCAGGTCTCCTGCCTCCCCCTGCCCTTCCCTCCATCCCACACAGGTTGGCAGCTCTGAGACAGCTGGAAGTAAACCCTGCAATTCTACATCTGCAGAGATTCTTACAGCAGTGGGCAAGGATGTACGTGCAAGAGGTCTTTGCAGCCTCACTTGTTATAGAGTGAAAAATAAAAATCTAGGTGTCATCGATAAGGAATTGGGAAAATAAGTCAGCTTATGTTCATACAATGCACAATACTATGCAGCTGTTAAAAAGAATGGGGTTGTTCTCTATGTGCTGACGTTGAGAGGAGCAAACAAGGTGCGGGACCGTGTGTTTAGAATGTTCCCATCTATCCATGTTTATACGTGTGTAGAAAAAGCCTGTCAGAGTATGCTCCAAAATGGCAAAGGTGGTTACCCTGAGAATAGGATTTAGGGGAAAAGCGGAAGAGCTGTTGGGGTGGACTTTTATTTTTTACTTTTTTGCACTGTTTTCTATAATGACTTTCGGTTTTCAAAAATCAATGGAGCACAGATAGATGGATAGAAATGTGATAAAGCAAGGATAGGAAAAGGTTAACAGAAGAATCTAGGTGATAAGTATACAAATGTTCTCTATAACAGTCTTTCAACTTTGCTTTGTGTGGAAGCTTTCACAATAAAATGTTGGGGGAGAGATCAGTGAAACAAAGAAAAAGAACTTTCCAGAGAGGTCATGATGGGAAGTCTGGCGAATGGTCCTCCCACACTGAGACTGGCAGGTGTGCAGGTGGTGTCTCCAGCTGGGGACAGTTACATCTCGTTGAACCCATTGACGCCCCCCTGGACCTGCTCAGGACGGACCTGCAGGATTCTAAAGGCCAACACGCACTTTGCCCTTTGTCAAGGCGGCCGCCCTCATTCAGCTGCTGTCACTGAGAGAGCTGGAGCCCGGGCCCGAGGTGGGTGTGTTGCAGCTGCTCCCCCAGCACCCTGGCCAGGATCTCGGGAGGGACTCTGGGAGCGGGGCAGGGTGGGGTGGGCCACAGCGCATGCTCAGTCGGCCAGGGTTTCCTGCTGGATCCAAAGACCCCTGCACGTGCTTCGTGCAATGTGAGGTTGAAGGAGGCGATTCGAGTAAGGTGCTCAGCCCACGGTCCCGCCCGGGCGACCACGGCACTGGCTGTCGTTATTGTCCACGGCTGAACAAGACTCCGAGCCTGCCGAGGCAGACGGATGTGCACACGGTGGATAACAGCGAGCAGCGGCTGTGCCAGGCCCCTCCCCTGGGTCAACCCAATCCTGGGCGCTCCCCGCTTCTCACATGGGAGCAAGCAGAGGCTCCGCAGGCCGAATCCACTGGCCCAGGCTCACACTGCTCAGTACGCGGCAGAACCAGGATCTGAACACGGTCCCGGACTCTGAAATCCATGCTCAATGGCCTCTCTGCAAAGGCTCTTAGAATATGGCCCCTGATGGACGAACAACAATAATAACCATAACCACAACAGCTAACAGGCGTACAGCGTCACTAGGTGCCGCGTTCTGTTCTAAGCACTTTGCACAAATTAACTCATTTAGTCTCCACAACAACCTTATGGGGTAGGTGTGATTATCATCCCCATTTCACAAGATGAAAATTGAGACACAGAGAGATTGGGAAACTTGTCTCAGGCCACACAGCTTGCAAGTGGCAGAGCTAGAACTCTGGCTCCAAAGTCTATGCTCTTACCTCGTACGCAAGCCCAGGAGAAGGAGGATGTCATCTCACCTCAAAGGAGCCGAGGGAGGGTGAGTGACCTTCCCAAGGTCACACAATAAGTTGCTGCAGAGCTAGAGTGAAACTCAGACAGCCTGACTCCTAAGGTGGTCTTGTTCCCAATCCTCCAAGCTGAGGGCTAAGGAACACCTCTACTGTCCCTGCCTGCACCTTTTCTTCTTTAAGCCTATGCAGACTTCTGGCCAGTCCAGAGGGAGTGTGGCACTGATCGTCAGCACCCCTGACCCTCCCACTGTCCGCCTGGACGGCCACACGGCCACGGCCATTCAGCCGGTCTCGTTGGTGCTGCGGGGGCCCAGCACCACCTCCTCTGTCTCCGTTTCCTGGGTGAGTAAAGCTCGCAGTCCTTTGTTCCCCGGGGTCCTGGGTCCACTTGAGGCCCATCCAGGGCAGGCGGACTGAGGGCGGGCTGCACAGGGCAGCAGCAACCCTCCCACCACGCCGCGCTAACACTCCATCAGTCCACACCCAAAGAGGCGCGCCAGGCTTCAAACCGTCTACTCAGACACCCGCTCCCCCAGGTGCAGACCCAGCCCTCCCCAAGGGCCTCCTCAGTGACTAGGGGGCTTTGCGTCTGAGACCCTCTCTCAGTGGCCCTGCAGGGTGGCTGTTAAGGCTTTTGGCCGTCCCCTGCACTGGGCTGCATCGAAAGCCCTTGTCCACAAACCCGGGAGAAAAGTCAGAGAAACGAAGCTCACGGAGGGGCTGCAGGGGTGTGTGTTCTCTCCTCCCCCAGAGGTGACCTGGCTGGACCTGGGAGGAATTCTGAGGCTCCTGCAGGGGCTTCCTGCCCTCAGAGCATCTGTAAAAGGATCTGACTCCAAATCCCACTGCCAGGCCCTTTCTACAGACAGGCCAGCCTTGTTTCTCAGCCCGAGGCCGTCAGGTCTATGGTCCCTCCCTCTTTCGGGGCCTCTGCTCTCTCCTTGTGCAGTGCCAACATCACCAACATTCAGCTGGACTGTGGCGAGATCTGGATATCTTTCCAGAAGGAGTGGTTCTCTGCAAACTTCTCCCTTGATTCGACACTGACCTGAGACTGTGCGTCACACAGAAGTGGGGTCTGAGGGGCGCTGCTCCTCCTGATGGGAACCTGGCAGCTGCGGGGGAGGGGAATTTGGCAACCTGGGTACCCAGATCTATCTGACTCCAACCTGGTTTCAAATCATGGATTCTGAACTCACTGGCTGTGTGATCTTGGGCAAGTCACTGCATGTCTCTGTTCCTTGATTTCTTTGGCTGACGTATGGATGGCCCTCATTGGTCACTGGAAGCAGGACATTTGTTCATTTAAACCTACGTGAGTTCACTACACTGACATTAAAAAAAAGAGGGATGCTCTGAATATCTCATCATCCTTCCTTCCTCCTGTTCAAACCACTCTCTAACATCCACAGCCCCCAAGGAAAGGGAGGCTGCAGCTAAGCGGTGAGGATTTAAAAATAAGATTAACTCTCAGCTTCTGAATTTCCAAAGGCCCATAATCTGGTCTATTTAAAGGACTTTCAGAAGCCGCTCTGGCTCATAGCGGTTTTCTCATAATCACCGACTGCAGGATTCAACATGCAGGCCGGGAGGAGCCCAGGGGGCCGGTTTGTCCTTTTGTCTAAAGAGCCACTCTTCTCCTCAGCTGCTTCCACCCCTGCTCTTCCTCCGTCTCCTGCCCTTTCCCCTCCTCCTCTCTCTTGTCCCCAGGCCCTTCAATAATGAGATCATAAAGGCGCATGTGCACACGAACCTCATTGTGGAGTTCTGGCTGGAGAAAGACGAGTTTGGCCGGAGGGATCTGGTGATAGGCGATTGCGGCGTGGAGCCCAGCAGCGTCCAGACGACAGTCCTGACTCAGTAAGGTCCCAGCTGCCCCTCCCAAGGGTGACCATTCCTAGCTGCGGCCACACAGCTCCACCACCTCCCGGATGAGCCCCAAACGGATGTCACCCTTTCCCCAGGATCTGCTCTCCTCCCACGTCCCCACCTCAGTGTCGGCCCTGCCGCCTCCCAGAAGCCAGACTCTCCCTCCTCACTCCCCACAGCCCCTCTTCACCCGCTCCCATCAATGACCTCCTGGCCGCCCCCACTTGCTCCATTTCTCTCCATCCCACAGCCACTGTCCCCGCTCATAGTCCACGACCTGGGTCTTTGCAGGAGTGTCCTCTGACTTCCCCCAACTCAGACCTCACCACCTACAGTCCATTCTCTCCTGCAGCAGAAGTAACTTTCTAACACAGAAAACTGGTCATGACTGCAGTCTCTGCTCCTAACCCTCCAGTGGTTCTCCAGAGCCCTCTGGATGAACAGCAAACTGCTGGATGTCACTCAAGGTCCTACTGTGCTCTCCCCTGCCCTACTCTGCAGCCCTCTGCCCTCTAATGTCTCAGAAGGAACCATCCCTCCTTCAACATGCCATGCATTTGCAGACCACTGTGCCTTTGCACGTGCTGATCCTTTGCCTGGAATACCCTTCCCTTCTTCTCTAAAGCTCCTCCTCATCCCTCATTCATTCAACAAATATTTACTGAGAGCCTACCGTGTGCAAGGCATGGTGGGCTCAATGCTGGGCAAACAGTAGTGAACAAGACAGGAAAAACACAGGTAAATGAAGATCCACACCCTGGCTGACCAAGTCTGCCAACCTCAACACACTGAGTCCCTCGAGGGCAAGCTTTGCATCAGGTTTCTCTCCGGAATTCCAGAACGATGGAAGCAACAAAGTCTTAGGTGGATGTCCAATCATTTATTCATCTGACTTTCACTGAATGCCTAGAGTATGCCAGATGCTCATGGACAGGACAGTGCAGGGGGTAGACTGTGTACCCTGGAGCTCTGCTCACCTGGTTCTGGTCTACTCAGCACTTAGGAGCCATGTGACCTTAGACAACTCACATCATCCCTCTGAGTCACCGCTTTGACTGTTCCTGACGGTGATGCCTCCTGGACATGGCTGGCAGAGGATTCAACGACTGTCTGAGGTGTACTCAACACTTAGCACCTGGCATTTATACTGCCTGTGTTTATCTGTCTATTCTGTACGTTTGCCTCTCTTTCTAGAGATTGCCCACCAAAGATGAAACATTTTCTCTGCAACCTCAGACACAATCTGAAAAAAGTTATCCCACACCAGGTAGAAAGTCAGGTAATCCGGAGAAAAGTATTTTTCCCGTGGGCATCCTTGAGTGTGAGGGTCGGGGCATATCTAATGGCAGCCCAGCAAAGAGTTTCAAACCCTGGGTAAAAGAACCTGAAAGATCTCCATTTAAAATTTCAGTTTTGCCATCTACTGGCTGTGTGTCCTTGAGCAAGTGACTTAGCCTCACTGAGTCTCGGGTTCCCCATCTGTAGCATGGGAAACATTATGGTCCATAGCTCATGGAATTGTCACAGGGATTGAGAGAGACATGCATGGCATGTGGTTGGCGATCAATACAAGGGAGCACTCTTGCCATGATTGCTTGTGGAAATCCAGTGGAGTCTAAGCTTCTAGCCACAGGCCTCTAGCCTTCTTTTCCCGGTCTCTGGTCTGACCCTTCTGTCTGTGCTGCTGGCCCAGGTGTGTCCTCTGACCGGTGAAGTCCTCAGGCAGCTGGATGTGAAACTGTTGAAAAGCCTCATGGGTGAGTCTGTGTCCATCCAGGGAGGCGGACTCAGGACTGGAAGATGGCTGGAGGAGGTGCCCCCACGGAGCTCCCAGCGAGGCCTGCTCAGGGGGGTCTGCATGTGCTCTGAGATCTCTTAGAGGTGACCATATCATGATGACCATTACTGTCCTGTGAGAAAGCTGGGACAGCAGAGGGGATCCCTACCAAGCAGACGGTGCCCCACCAAGTCACTCACACCTACCTCTCACCAGAGCTTGTGGCTTCTCCCAAGATTTCCACTCAATCCTTCAGGGAGCACTGGCCCCACCCCAGACTGAGACCACCCCCCTTGAGCTGCAGATAAACAGATATGGTCCCCGCCCTCACGGGGCTCACAGTCTCGAGAATGGAAGACAGCAAGGAGCGCGTCACTAGCTATCACTTGGAAAGTGTTCTAACACAAGTGCTCCTGGCACTGGCCCTAGGTCAGCAAGGATGGATGAGGGTCCCCTTCAGTGTGGACGTGGGATTTGGCGGGTCAGACATGCTGGTGACTGACACCGCCTCTTCTTCTTATAGAACAGGCTGCTACTCAGGAACTCAACCAACTGTGAATCAGCCAACCCCCCCCCCCCGACACACACACACACACACACCAGACTTAGTGTCCTCCAGCGATGCACTGATGATCAGAAGGAGATTCCACACCCTGGGACCTTACGCCTCCTTCAGAGTGGGGCTTCCACTGCCCCAAAAACCTTTACCACAGGCCCTGTGGACATCCTGTCCTCTCCCATAATAAATTCTATCTCTGAAGGTGCAGAGATCCCCCGACTTGGGCCCTGAGGTTTAGGGTCCAGAAGTCAGACTTGACAAAGGTCCATCTTGAGACTAAATATGCCTGCATTTGCTCCTCAGCCCAGAAATATCCGAGAACACTCTCTTTTCCTGTAATTTGCAGCCAGAAGCCCATCTATGGGTTTGCTCATCAATGCAGGGGAGGCCCTGTGGAGATTTCCCATTCACTCATTCAGTCCACCTACACTTATTGAGCACCTCCTACATGCCAAGCACTTTGCTGGGCTCCAAGGGAGTGTAGAGAAAAGGTGATGGAGAGGAAAAGCATAAACATTGGCACCGAACAGATCTGAGTTCAAATTCAACCCAGCCCAAAGAGCAGTTCCATGAGGGTATGGACCGTGTGCACTGGGGAGACCAACGACACCTGCCCCAGTGCAGGGCTGGCACAGCGTGTGAGCTCAGCAAATGTCTGAGCTTAAACGATGGGTGAATGCTGGTCCTATGACTCACTAGCTAGGTTTGGGACAAGGCACTTTCCCTTTTGCTCTTCCTCACCTGCAAAGTGGGAACAGAAATCTCACAGGATGTGGAGCAACAGGGGCCCTCACACTGCGGGTGGGAGGTGAGTCGTACGACCACTTTATCAAACCAGGGGGCAGATCCACTAAAGCCCAATGTACGGCTGCTCTCTGACCAAGCAGTTCCTCCCAGCTGTGCGGTCAGCAGAAATCTGTGCACATAGGCACCACAAGACGTGTACAAGAGTGCTCCCAGCAGCAGAGTAAAAACTCCCTAAATGCCCATCAAAAGAATGGCTAAAGAGCGTGGCCAAACATCCTGTGGGC